TAGTTGGGTTCAATTCGTCCAAGATGTTTAGCATCGTCGCAGCACGCTCGTGATGTAATCCTTGGTCCGGCTCGACATACCCAACAAATGCAGATGCTGCGGACATGGATAGGAAATTACCGGGCGCAAGAAGCGTCGAACACGAGATCTCAGACTACCGAAGCCAGCGCCGGGGTCTCGGTTGTCGGTCTCGAGACCTCGGTGGGACACGCGCCATCCGTCCCTGTGGGGATTTCTGCAGTGTGACAAGCGCACATGGTGGAGAGACGAGGCTGGTGTGCACTCATGGATATCTGGAAAGGCTTCCCCCGATGTTGCGCACGCGTTTCAGGCTTTCGCATGATGTGTGGCAAAGCCATGATGGCAGAATGGTGCAGATTGGTGATGCACAGAAGGGTGGCGAAGATCACATGCAAGAAACACATCGGAGATGCTGCCCCTTAGCCCCGTTGAGATGCACGGCCACATTGACGTCATGAGCATCGACGCCACTTCCTTCTCCAAACGATGTCAGTACATCCACATGCACTGTAACAACCTTCAATCTACTCACCTATAAGCTCTACTACCTCAAATTCAAGATATCGTCTCCAGAAAAGTACCAAGAACCTCCCTCAAAGCTTCATACGACCTACACCCCCCACAATGGCTTCATCACATCCCAACGAGCCACCACCCAGCTACGAAGCCGCCATCTTCGACGCCGAACCCTCCCAAGGCATCCACCGTGTCTCCACCGACGGCCCTGCAGCCCGCACCGAACGCAATGGCATCCCGCCCGAACGCCGCCGCTCCATGGAAGACGAGATGCGCGCGCTCCCTGATGGTTGGGTCCGTAGTTTCGACCCAGAGACCTCGCACCAATTCTTCGTCGACACCAAAGCCGATCCTCCACGTAGCATATGGACGCACCCCTACGACGACGAGCAGTACCTCAACACTTTAACTCCCGAAGAGCGCAAGAAGCACACGCGCATGCACCGCACCATGACACTAGAGGACCTTACAGCCGAGGACTCCGATGCCGAAGACCAACTCCCTCCACGGCCTACATCGAAGGGTAAAGGTGCTGCGGCGCCTGGAGAACCGACTGGGATACATAAGTTTTCGAGGAAGCTAAAGGACAAGATCACGGGTCAGACGCATGAGCAGCGTGAACAGTCTCGATCTCAGCGGGCGGAGCAGGAACGGCAGGCGTATCTTCAACATCTGCGTACAAGACAGGCTCTAATACGTGCTATGGAGACGGGGCAGCCGCAGTTGCTGGGCAAGGACCGTCAGGGTAGAGATGTTTATATCGAGCCGCCTCATGGACCGTATGCTCCGAGGGGAGCTTATGGATATAATCCGTATGGTGCACGCCAGTTTGGCAATCCTGGTGTGAGGTATATGCGTCCTGCTGGGCCGTACGGTAGACCGTATGGATATGGTTATGGCGGTGGTGCTGGTCTGCCCATTGCAGCTGGTTTCCTTGGTGGCGCTATGCTGGGTGGTGCGTTGTTCTAGTGACGGAAAGCATGGAGACTTTGACGAGTTTCCTCTTTTGTACATGAAATATCCCTAGTAACGATTAACGAATAACAATGATTGCATCATCATCTCTCTGCTCGCGAATAAGCATGTAGTCTATAATGGTATAGTCCAAATTGCTGAGGCGAAAACATGGGGTATCATATGGCAACTCCTAGCCTAACTTCAAATCACATTCTTGACCACTTCTCGATCACCTCAACCCAGATATATCTCTCGACATGGAAGTAACACGATCCTCAAGTTCTTTCTTCTTCTTCTCAAGTTGACGCGTCTCCTCTTCTTCTCGCCGAAGGTCTTCCTCAGTCAGCACGACTACTGGCTCGGGCTCCTCTTCAAGCTCATCCATGTCCTCCTCCGCGTAGTCACCTCGCGAACGATTCAGCTTGCCGAGCTGGGCTTGTTGTTCGGCAAGTCGGTTTTCGTAGTATTCTAGCGAGGCAGAGACTTGGGCGTGTCGTTGGCGCATGGCTGCGATTTTGTCATGGACGCCTGGTATGGGGCTGTCTTTGGTCAGTTGAGGATCGCATGTCTGACGTTGATTGAGACGTACTAGACTCCAAGAAGCTTCTCGGCGCCTTCTAACAAAGATTCTACGTCAATCTCGTTCTTGTTGCTGCCGTTGTACATTCTGTAGCCGAGACCTGAGCCTGCTCCGCCTCCACCGCCTCGACGTATCCTCTCTACTAGCTCATTGCCGAGAACTGCTGCTACAGCCGTGTTGCGCCTTGGTGCTCTTACGGCATTCGCGCCGCCGCCGCCTGTGCTGGTGCTACCGCCTCCATTGGGGTTGAAGATGGTGTTGCGCCTGTTGGTAGACGGAGCTGGTTCAGCATGCTTCGGGGCTGCGGGTGGCGGAGGAACGGAGAATAGCGCGCGTTCGTGAAGTTCGGTGTCGCGAATCAAGCTCGTGATATCGTGGTTTTGCAGTAACGCGTTGGTGAATATCTTGGGCGGGGCGAACCTGGGGGTGTTCAGTCGGAAGCTATCGAGGGTGAAGGACGGGAGACCCACGGCAACTCTGCAATCGACGCTGCGCAGAGCGAGATCTGCTCTAGGTGTGCATCCAGAAGTGCCATGGTGCACACAAACTGTACACAGAAAGTATGCTGGGGTGACGCGGGGGTCAACAAGGCGCGTCGGTGCTCGATAACTATTCCCCGATGTTCCGCCGCGCTGGCGTCAGTGAAGCTGGGAGCTCAACCTCCGCAAAGCATCAACACCACCCTCACCACCCACCACTACCTCAATAAACACCGCACCTTCCGTCCCCCCACCTACACGTCAAGAGCGACCATCATGGCGGACAGCATGGAAGGCGTCGTCGTCGAGGGCGAGCAGCCCAAAACCGAGAACGTCGAGCAGAAGGCGATTGCTGGTAAGTCATCAACATGCCTTTTACCTCAAAGTGCCCTTGTACCAACTGCACCACCTCGTGGCCGGTCCGCAAGATGTGCCCCAATCACATCATCGCCACCGAGGTCGCGGCGTGCAAGTATCTGTACCAGCGTGCTGATCCGACGACGACAGACATCCGCAGCAACTTTGTGCTCCTCGAGCGAGCCGTCGCCCAGTTCGATACCCGCTTCACCCTGCGCGCCCTCCGCTCCATATCGTCGCTGCGAAAGAGGCTCACCGACCGCGTGCTATGCTCCGTCATCATCCTGACGTACTCGCCCAACAACGCCACGGCGCGCAACTTCATCGAGTACATTGGCATGGACGGCGAGGCGATACAGAGCGTCGTCTCCCAGTACAAGGAGGAGGTGCAACTTAACAAGAACAACACCAAGGAGCCCCTGCCCGAGGTGGACGTATACATAGCCATTCTGATACAGGTATGTCTGGTGACGGCAGCAATGGTTCATATCTAACGGGTGCAGGTATATCTCTACGATCAGAAGGAGTTTGAAGAGGGTGCCGAGTTCGCCGAGACGCTGGTAGACAAGATCCGAGAGCTCAACAGGCGGACGCTGGACTCGTTAGCAGCCAAGGCCTACTTCTACTTCTCCCTCTTCCACGAGGAGATGGACCCGAAGCCCCCGTCCAAGCAGTCGCCCGTCATCAACATCCGCGGAAAGCTGCTCGCCGCTCTCCGAAGCGCCGTGCTCAGGAAAGACCCCGACACGCAGGCGTCCGTCACCACCCTGCTGCTCCGAAACTACCTCTCGACCGCCGACATCACACAAGCCGATCTCCTCGTTGCGCAGACACAATTCCCACCAAACGCCCCCAACAACCAGGTCGCAAGGTACCTGTACTACCTTGGTCGCATACGGGCTATCCAGCTGTCTTACACTGAGGCACATGAGCACTTGATCAGCGCCACCCGCAAGTCGCCCTCTGCCCACTGCGCAACTGGCTTCTACCAGGCCTCAATGAAGCTCCTGGTAGTCGTTGAGCTGCTGATGGGTGATATTCCCGAGCGCGACGTCTTCAGCCAGCCCCGTTTGGAGCGTGCCATGGAGCCCTACTTCCGCCTGGTCCAGGCAGTCCGTGTGGGTGACCTACAGGGCTTCCTCAAGGTTGTGCAGACATCCTCATCCGTCTTCCACCGCGACGGCACCTACACCCTCATCCTTCGCCTTCGCCAGAACGTCATCAAGACCGGTATCCGCATGCTGTCGCTTTCATACTCGCGCATCTCGCTCCGCGACATTTGCATTCGCCTTGGCCTCGAGAGCGAGGAGTCCGCCGAGTACATTGTTGCCAAGGCTATCCGCGACGGAGTCATAGAGGCTTCAATTGATCACGAGAAGGGTTTCATGCAGACCAAGGTCGCTGGCGACATCTATGCAACCCGCGAGCCTGGTGAGGCATTCCACGAGCGCATCCGGGCGTGCTTGACCCTGCACGACGAGTGCGTCAAGGCCATGCGCTACCCCATGAACCAACATCGTCTGGAGCTCAAGAACGCCCAGGAGGCACGCGAGAGAGAACGCGAGTTGGCCAAGGAGATTCAAGATGGCGACATTGACGAGGACGATGCGGCTGGAGACTTTGAAGGCTTGTAGAGGCATTACAGCTTGGACGATCATTCCGTGAGCGTGTAAGATAGCCGTATGTGGGCTGGCATTGATAGAAGTTCCCGACAATGTGGGACGAACATCTCAATGATGCATGAATAGACCAGATCCGAGACGTCATGACACGCTATGGAATCCCCAGTGACATGTGACAGTGCAGATGCTACAAGAGTCGCTAATCTGACGGACGGATCCATGCAGCGCATCCACGCGAGTGCTAGGCCAGTTGCAGCAAGATTCCATGAAAGGTCCCCGCAGCTTGATCCAAGGCCCAACGCTCGCGGCCCCACAGCAGCTCAGCTTCCCAACGTCACCACGCGATTGCCCGCGCGTCTCCTCGCCGTTTGATCATCCCACCATGTTTCACTGCCGCAGCCATGTAAGTCGTATCCCACAGAGTAACGCGCCCCTCCACACGCCTTCCCAGCCGCGAACGCGTCCCTAATGGCGTCCCTCAGGATTGACGTACCCCGGCGACTCCGGCGCGCCATCCTCCTCAACGACCTCGCCCTCGTCCAACGCATCATCCGCAACAACCACAAGTACCTGCGCAACCCGGACTTTGACGACCGCTCCAACACGTCCCTGCACCTCGCGGCTAAACATGGCTTCACGACCATTGCCGAGTTCCTCGTCGACGCCGGCCATGAAGACGGCATGATCAGCAGGAACAACGATTGGGAAACCCCCCTCATGCTTGCGGCTTCGGCGGGCAAGGAGGAGTGCGGCGTTTACCTCGCTAAACGCTTTCCTGAGGCTGTGGACTGGAAGAATAAATCTGGGCTCGATGCTCTCATGCTGGCGTGTCAGTCGGGCGCGGGGACGCTGCATCTCATTCCCACGTTGATACTCCACGGACCGAATCTACTCTCCGCGAGCGATCTACAAGGCAATACAGCGCTACACCATGCGTCTGCGGCGGGTGAATTGAAGGCCCTGAGGATGTTACTGCAGTACGGCGCGAATCCGCTGGCGAGCAATAGTTACAGTTGGACACCGGTTCATTACTCCGCTACCAGCGCCGCAGAAGCGTATTTCAAAACCCTCATCATCGAGTTTGAGAAGAAGAAGGCGGAGGGGAAACGGGCGGTTAAAGAGAGGGAACGCCAACGTACCGCGGGTGTCAGGCTGGTTACTGATACCGAGGGGCTGGGCAGTCCGGGTGGCGTGGTTATGCAGGGGAGTGCTGCGACGGCGGCGGGTGGTGGTGGTGGTGGAGGCGGTGGAGTGGAAAGACAGAGTTTGGAGAGACAGAGTATGGATAGACAGCGCGCGAGGGATGATGCGGCCATTGCGGGACTCCCGGCACCGGGCGTGATGGATTGGAGTCCGGTGGAGAGGAGGAGGGCTATGACGCCTACGGAGGGGAGGGGTTGGACGTTCACGCCGGATGGGTTTAGGCCGAGGGCGGAGACGGGGGAGAGTATTTAGGGGTATATTGGCTTTGAGCTTTGGCGTTGAGTATAAGCATCCATCAAGGAGCATTGGTGTGGACATATTGTGCTATGGCGTTGTAGGCATGTGGTGTTGGTATTTGTACGATCAAGTTTATTCATTCTTATCTCTACCCAACACCTTTGGTCTTTCCTGCGCGTTGCGAAACCTGCGTTTCCTAACGCTATGTCCTCTAAACACTCTGAGTTCACAAGTCTGCGGAACAGAATCAGGCATAGTACGGCCGAAGCAAACCGACCCTATCGAGGAACAGCCCCATCCCTTCTCTATCCCCTCCTCCAACCCCCTCCTCATTTCTATCCCCTCCTCCAAGTCTCCGCCCCATCACACGCCCTCACCCCCCTCCCATCTCCTCCTCTCCTCTCCCATGCCCTCCTCGCCGCTCCTGCATCTCCTACCCAACATCCATTCATCCCACTCGCCCCACCACCGTTCCCATTCCCCTCTCTACCCCCCTCACCACTCCCACTCCCATCCCCACCATTCTCATTCTCATCCCTAAAAACATTCCTCCACCCCCCACACCCCACCTTCGCATCCGCATTTCCCATCCTCTCCCTCCCTTCCAACCACCGACAGGCCGGCCAGTGATACGTGCTGTATTCTTTCCCGTAGAAACGCTCGTGGACACAGCCTGCACACTTGTGCTGGTAGATGAGTGCGTCGAAGAGTTGAGTTGGGTACTGGCCTGGTTGGGTGGAGAGACCGGGGGGACGGGTCGGGGCCTTGTATGTGTGTTCACTAGGTATGATCGGTTGGTTTGATGGTGATGGTTGTTGTTGTTGTTGGAGAGTTGGCTGTAGAGTTGGCTGAAGAGTTGGCTGGGGATACTGAACTGGAGGTAGAGGGCGAGACGGAATCTGCTGTGTGGGTGGTAGAGTCGGTGTCGGACAAGTGAGTTGTGGTATGTATGAACCTGGGCGCAGAAGGTGGGATGGTACCTGGCGGGTGGGTGGCGGGGGCGCTGGGTAGCTTGTTTGTGGACTGAAAAGATGTGGATGCGTGCGGATAGTCGGCGGTGGTGGCGGTAGTAGCGGTGTCTCGAGAACAAGAAATGGCTCTCTGGATGCCACCATGGTGGGTGCGTGGGTAGTGTAATGTCTTGTATGGCTGCGTTAAGAGCGTGTTTGATACGAGTTGCTTGAGGAAGAAACGATAGCTTGAAGATGTGGTTGGATGATGAAGTTTTTCGCTGAATGGGGGATGCATATTGAGATAGCATTCTGCGTCATTGTGCTTTCCTGCTGTTTCCAGTTACGCGCGGTAGCGAAGGAAGGCTTGGTTCGATATCAGCGAGGTAGGTAGAGACAATATAACGGAAACTGCAATGAGTGCCATCTCAGTGGTCAGTTATCCAAAGGATACGTCAGATCCAGAATAGCAGAATCGCACACGTGGATCAGATGATGGTTCTCTCGGTACTTGCAGGCTGGATTGGTGACAGCAGCCTCCTGATTCGCCGCCGCGAGTACAATTCTCACTGTGGGGAGTTTGTCGTTGTCGCCTTACCAAGGTTCGCGTAGAAGCTACTCGCGATTCTCTGTGCAGCCATGATCAGCAGACCAAAGGTGATTAGGAAACGAGCATCGTTGTACACGCCACATCGAGAAGTTGCGTTGTTCGCGAATGTATCGTGCATCTGGCACAGAAAGCCGTGTCGACAGATATCAACGAACGCGATATAAATTTTCCATCGTAATGCAAGAGATGGTGAGTGGAGTGGAGCATGGAGAAGCGACCCATGGATGGTAGAGTATTGCGAGCCTAAATTTCATTGGGAGTAGTGGCTGCCTCTTCCAGTCATCAGCATCACCGGGGCACGAGGCCGCTCGACCACTTCTTGTTTAGCATAATTGACATCTTGCGGATATATCGCGAATAACAAGCCTTAGGTTCTCGATTACTCTGCAGATGGTCTGCGCTGCACATTATACCTACCTAGCCAGCCTTTGCGACGTCATATCGAGGTCACTGAACGACAAGATTGCGATACTACATTGGTCTTTGCTACGGTACGCATCTCTCTCATCTATTAACCATGCTCGACACCAGCATCGCCAAAGCTCGAGACTCATGACCGCTTACGAGACTTGCATACGATACTTGAGGTTGTTCATGCCGTCCATTCTTTGCAATCCTCCGCCACGCTCGTACCAGATAGCGTAACTTATACGAGATGAAACTTGGCGTGGCGCATACCATTTGGCATACTTGAACATGTAGCAGCGATATCCGCATGCAACCCTGCGCACCCACATTACATCGTGATAACACGCATGTTCAAACCATCTTGAGCTCTTCTCTTCATTACAACCCCAACATGCTCCTGAAGATCGACAATCTTCCACTCGTATTACTTCAGAAGCCTGTCCCTTCGCTGCCATGTGAGAAGGCCCAAAGAACTCATCGTTATACTATTCCGTCTACCTGCTCGAAGTGCATCTTCATCTTCCCAAGCCCAGTCTTGTCGGCGTGCATACTACCTAGGCCTTCTAACATCGTATCAGACTGGATGCTATATACCGGCCGGGCCCGAGAAAGTAGTAGTGATGTGTCCATTAGATCAGATAAGTATAGTTCCGAGTTCAGCTAGAACAAGAACGAGACAAGAAAGGATCAGACAGGGGCCGTCCTCACAGCACCCCCGTACACCACGGTATCCACATGACACAGCGCATAGACTTGCAGCATGAGCAAGGAGAAGAAAAGCACAGTTTCCGCAATCCCTTACCCCTTTCGTCTCGACCTGACCTCTTCACGATATCTGATCTCTCAGCAACACCGAAAGGCGCTCAATCGATACTGTATTCCTACTCTGTCCACCATACGGAGTACTCGCAACGACATTAACACCGCAGTCTAACCGCACCGAGAGTGAGCCTTATCTAAGCAGGGAATGTATGTCAGTATCAGGATGAGGTCGTAGGATGAATGAAGGGTAGGGTATGGGGTGTCAGGGAAGACAGGAGACCCTTCGAACGGTACATGACAACAGTGGAGATTGATGGCTACATGACATTCCCGAGTTGCATATAATGGAATAGAGACTCATGTAGCCTTTTTGGGGTATCCGGGTAGGCAGGCGGCCCCTCGGATGCGGCATGATGGCAAGGAGGCCTGACGGCTACATCACACTCACATATTGCAGATAACATAGTGTGAACCCATGTAGCATATGTGGGATCGATAAGCAGACACAAGACCGCTCGAATGGGACATAATGATCGTGATGTCTGGCGACTACACAATACTCCCTCATCACAAACGACACATCGTCCACTTATGTAGCCTTTGCAGGGCAAGCAAGTAGGTAGTAGACCTCTTGGACAGGGCATGATAAGGCGTTTTTCCTGGCGGCCGCATGACGCTGTTACATCGCAAATGATCTATCATAGGACTACGTAGCCTGTGGAGGGTAACCGGTAGATGAGAATGACTTTCTTATACGGATGATGACGGGGAAGGCTGGTGGCTACATGACACCCTCGTGTCACGAAGGGTAGATCGTAGACCCATGTAGTTGATATGAGGTGATTAGAAATGTAACACTAACTCTCTTAGACGGATAATGGTGGTGAAACGTAAGGGCTACATCACACGGGCTGGTCACAACTGATGAGATCGTGGGCCCATGTAGTCGGTATGGGGTCGTCAGATGTGTAGTAGTGATCCTCTTGGACTGGCGATGTGGGTGGAGCGTAAGGGCTACATTATGATAGCACGTCGCAACTGATGAGCTCGTGGGCCCATGTAGTTAGTATGGGATCATCAGATATGTAGTAGTGTCCCTCTTGGGCAGGTGATGAGGGTGGAACGTAGGGGCTACATCGCACCAGCACGTCGCAACTAACAAGATCGTGAACCCATGTAGTCTACACGCCGCATCGCTTTTCGAGTTGTCTTCACTGAGAACAAAGCAGAAGAGATGTAATTTTGTGTGTTTTGTGGTTTGCATTTCATGATAACTAACTAATGTGAAGTCCGTAAAGCACGCAGAAAAAAAAGTCAAATGTATTCCCAGAAACGCCGAGTGAGAGCCAAAGCAATCTCAGAAACACCCCGATAACAAGTCAAAATAATCCCAGAAACGCCGTGAAATAGGTAAATGTCAAAAACGCCCTCGCTCCATGCTAGACCGGTATTTCCCTGTCCCGCCCTTGATGCATGCCCCATGGTCGCTTGTCGTGAAGGTGAGAGTAACGCCGTGTGAATGCCCGCCCAATGCCGATGCTCGCCGTAGAAGTTCATAAAGCCGTTGTTGTGATATGTGGTGTGGTGTTGAGTGTGGTAGTGTCGCGATACGATGAGAGCGGACTAGAGACGTTCCTGCTGCTCAAAGATAGCGGTAGTCTGGTGCGCGAGACCTGCGGTTGCGACCGCGAGGGTTGACGGGCTGCCTGTCGTACGCATCGTTGGGGTCTTGCTGCCCTTGCTGCCCTTGTGCCTGGCCCTGCGCGCTGCTCCATTGTCCTTGTCCTTGTCCTTGTGTCTGCGCTTGTCCGCCCCATCCGAACTGTTGCTGCTGAGGTTGTTGCTGGCCGTACTGTTGACCGTACTGCTGCTGGCCGCCGTAGCCGAAGTTCTGCTGGGGATACCATTGCTGCTGCGGCATCTGCTGCTGTTGTTGCTGCGGCTGGAAGCCCATTTGGTAGCCGTTCTGGAAGCCATTCGGGAAGCCCATCTGCTGAGGCATACCCATTTGCATAGGCATACCCATCTGCATTCCCATGGCGCCCATCGGTGTGTTCTTGAGCATCTCCATCTGTTGTATGAAGTCTTGTTCCATCTTCGAGGCGGGGTCGGCAGCTTGACGCATGGCTTTCGGCGCGGTGGGAGGTTTGATGTCTGTCGGAGGCTCTTTGCGCTTCTTTGAAGAGGTTGAGTCAGTATCGGAGACTTCGTCAGCCACTGCGGTAGTAGTAGCAGTGGCGGAAGCAGTTGTATCGTCATTTGCGACAGAGGGAGATGCGGTGTCAGTAGCATTGGATTGATTAACTGATTCATTTGTTGAAGCGACTGCCTTTGCTGCCTTGTCCTTCTCTGCCTTCTCTGCGTCGTATGCCTTGAGAGACTTGACCATGTCGTCGTCAGCAACGAGATCATCCATCAGAACATCCTCCTTTGAACAGTTTGGACAAATTAAGTCCCCATCTGCTAGCGCGTTGTCGATGCATTCTCGACAGTATGTCTTGCCGCAGCAAGGGGTTTTGACTGGGTCGACAAATCTTTGATTGTCGAGCGGACATTGCAGACCGCGTTCAGCAAGCTCTTTGCTTGCTGCATCAGCGTTGGCGGCTTGTTGGCGAGACAGGCTGGTCTTTTCTTGGAATTTGTTCCAAGTCTTTGTATCTGCCATGACCTGAACATACTCTCCGTCGGCGTTCAACATGATGCCCTTTGCAGCCTCTTCGTCGACAGGCTTTTCAACTTTCTTCAAGAAAGATTGAGGAATTCCAGTAGTACGTTTGGCTTGGAAAACAGGCTTGAAATCGGGATCGTCGTTTGTTGGGCAGGCTTGGATCCAGTGGCCCTTGATATTGCAGCGGCGGCAAACATAGCCGGGAGGCGGGGGATGTGAAGGGACAACAACATTCTTGGAGTTGTTTTTTCGATAAACTGGTTTTGCGTTCGAAAGTGCCTCTTTCTGTGCATCCCAGGCAATTGCTGATTCGGCCAAGAATGCGGCTTCAGGATCTTCGGCATTTTCGAGATGTCCACTACGTAGAGAGGGAACTGGCTTGGATTGTGAAGAAATTGCGCGCGAAGGCGCTTTGCCGGTGACGTAGCGGGCTGCTCGGCCTTGTCCTCTTGGAGCGGGGCGCCGAATTGCGATGACTGTGGATGAGCGCGGAATTAAAGTGGTATCGTCCTTGAGCTCAGAGTTGGGCTCATCTTGCGGATAAATGTGCAAGTTGAAATCGGAGCCATCGCCCAGGCCGCTTGCGCTGATGATCTCCTTCTTGAGCTCGAAAACGCTCAAATCGGTGCCGTTGAAGATGATGCGCTCGCTTTCCCTTGAATTCTTGAACTTGTAGAAGATTGATGAAGTCATTGTTGTGATTTGTGGTGTGGCTTCAAGTGTGGGGTCTGGTGAGAGAAGAGTGTAGAGTTGATGGAGGAGAGCGGAGTTCAGAACGCGAGTTATTGCTCCGCGCGCACAGGCCACTCCCGCGCACAGGCCCCTGAACGCATCCATGGTACGATTTGCCGGCGCTACACCGCCACACCGCCACACCCCTGACCCCTCCGAACCACTAATCTACCAATAATATAATTTGGTATACTCCTACCAGATTTTCGCTTTGCAGACTACAGCGTATCAACACATTTCAAATCTCGATTAATAATACACTGAAGTTCGTCACACCCCGCCATACGGTTGAGTCAGAGAACAGGCCTGCAGCCTACATCAAGTTGAAAACTAGCAACTTGGATGGTCCAAGGTCGATGTAGGCCCCATGGTGTTCAGGTTTTGCGTTGAATATGGCGCATCAAGGCCTCGCTATGTGAAGTCTATAGCAAGTACTCAAACTTGGGTTCACTCCATGCGCAGGAAAACCGGAGCATCCTGCAGCCTACGTGGGTCTCAGAATGAAAGTCTTGTGACATCCCGATGCAACGTAGGCTCCTGGGTCTTTGAGTACTTCCATCTGCTATAGGCAGCGTTCAGCTTCTTCCTGGAATGAGCTGGATTCCAGGTTACTAATGTTCTAAAGATAGCTACAGCCCTCCGAGCGGTTGGACCGAACCTGGACACCCTGCAGTCTACATTGGTCCTGAGACGAAAGTCTGCAAACTCTTGACGCAACGTAGACTCCTGAGTCATCGACTTTCGTTACTACCATCCAAACGATTGGACCGAACCTGGACACCCGGCAGCCTACATTGGTCTTGGAACAAAGTTTGGCAAACTCTTGACCCTACGTAGACTCCTGGGTCATCGACTTTCTTTACAACCGTTCAATTGATTGGACTGAATCTGGACATCCTGCAGCCTACATCGGTCCTGAGACAAAAGTCAGCAAACTGCTGACACAATGTGGACTCCTGGGTCATTGGCTTCCATCACTTGCTATAGGTGGATGTCCAGCCCTTTCCTGGACTGAGGTATATTCTTGATTACTCATGCTCTAAAGACAGTCACATCCTTTCAAACGGTTGAACCGGAACTGAAAGGCTTTAGGTCATCCATGATACCAGGATCTGCATATCAGCCTCCAGGAAGAGACTTCGCTTTTGGCTGAGACTGGAACCTGGTCGTGGTTTGGGCGGGAGCATTCCAGCCAGAGATATTCCAAGTATAGTCGAGCATGTCTGGCTTACAAGTACCAGACTACACCCTAGAGGTGTTCGGCATATCATCGGAGGGAGAAGTGCAACCAACAGTCACTTGAGGGTACTCAGATCCTCCATTTTGTTTGGGTCCCGTCGGCCCAGAGCTCCGAGCCATTGACATCTTCCGCAATGCGTGCGCAAAACCACGCCCAAGCAAGAGATATCGCAAGCATTCTAGACGATACCAAGTAAGGGCAGCTTGGGCGGGTCGTCAGAACAACAACTTCGATGAGCAATACTCTAGAGGCAGTCACAGGCTCCACTCAATCGGGGGTTTGCTTCGCAGAGAGCCCAGCGACTTTCAAACTCTGCAACGCCTAGCATGGTCATACGACGAGGCACTCCCGAACGAGAATATCACAACCATTTGTGACTCTGCAAACCCGAAGTATGAAGGCCTTCGATATATCAAAGATTCTAGATGCCGACCGATCATCACACGAGGACGTTGAGATGGCTGTATTAGTTGGTTTATTTGCGACGTGCTGTTGGAAGGCTTTCATCCGAGAGTTGGCCGTTCAATGCGTGTACGCGTGGGTGGGTGACACCGAAACCCTGACAGGTGGCAGGCGGCGGAAGGTTCCCGAGGTCCATTCTTATGTTGAACAACTGAACAAATATTGCAAAGCTAGCCATAATCAAGTAATACGTCTTTAATGCGGATGCAGATGCGTTTCTGAAATAATGCGCGATTAACAGGTGAATGATGTTACCTCTAGAATGTAATTAGCGGCTTAAGCCTTACGAAGCTGTACCTTATAGTCTTTGACCGCATGAATTAGCTTATAGTCCTTATTGTTTACCTTAATGTTCACAATTGATTTGTCCAGTACCTGACGACCTTTGTTAATAGTTCAACACCTTCGGGGCGGAGTCTGACGTTCGCGATGGCACTAGGGACCGGGGACCGTGGCGCATGCAGCTGCAGGGCTCTTCGTGCACTTTCATCCTTGGCCGATCGAAAGCCATTCCGTACTCATCAATTGCCTTTTGCCTTTCTTGTTTGCGCCTTCTACATTTAATTCACAGCAGCCGCATCGCGCCTGCTTCCTTTGTTTACGCGCGTCATCCCGATTGGCATGCTGCTTGGCCGAGTCTCACTCGCCGCCTGCAAACGAAGCTTCCTTGCGACACCTTCACGCACCCTACCGTTGTCCGCATCACGCCCGCGCTCCCTCTTTCACACGCCGCACCTCACGAGGCTGTCTAGCTCTAGCGCACACCCCCTCGGCAAACGCTCCCTCCACACGTCGCCGCCTATAAATACTTCGCTGCCAATGGAACAAAATGGCACAAGCAAGCGCAAGCAACCGCCAACCTCGCCCGCAACCGACCGCCCAAACAAGCAGATCAAGCCCGAAGTAGACTCGCACACGTCAAACGGCGTCATGTCGCACTCGCCCGACCTGGAGGAGCCCATGGACGATGCGCGCAGCGAGTACAGCGCCCACAGCTCCCCCGACGCCCTCCCGTCGTCGGCGCACATCACCGCCGTCACCGGGCAGGACACGGCAGAATGGCAGCGGACGATAGAGAACGTGGTCAAGAGCGTCGTGTCGATACACTTCTGCCAGACGTGTTCGTTCGACACGGACCCGGCCATCAGCTCAGAGGCGACGGGCTTTGTCGTCGACGCCGAGAAGGGCTACATCCTCACCAACAGGCACGTTGTCGGCGCCGGCCCCTTCATCGGCTACTGCATATTCGACAACCACGAGGAGTGCGACGTCCACCCCGTCTACCGCGACCCAGTCCACGACTTCGGTATCCTGCGCTTCGACCCCAAGAAGATCAAGTACATGCCCGTCACCGCCCTCAAACTGCGCCCCGATAACGCCAAAGTTGGTGTCGAGATTCGCGTCGTTGGTAATGATGCGGGAGAGAAGCTCAGTATCTTGTCGGGTGTCATTAGTCGGCTGGATCGCAATGCGCCCGAATACGGCGAGGGCTACTCCGACTTCAACACCAACTACATCCAGGCGGCAGCTGCAGCGAGTGGAGGATCTTCCGGCAGTCCTGTCGTGGACCGCGACGGCTTTGCTGTTGCGCTGCAGGCCGGTGGACGTGCTGACGGTGCTGCGACCGACTACTTCCTGCCGCTAGACCGACCGCTACGTGCTCTCGAGCTCATCCGCCAAAGCCAACATGTCACCAGAGGCACCATTCAGACCCAGTGGATACTCAAGCCGTTCGACGAGTGCCGGAGGTTAGGTCTCTCGCCTGAGCTGGAGAAGGAGATCCGCACTCAGTTTCCCAAGGAGACAGGCATGCTCGTAGCTGAGGTCGTCCTTCCTCAAGGGCCCGCATCTACCAAGGTCGAAGAAGGTGATCTTCTCCTACGCGTCAACGGAGAGTTGCTTACACAGTTCGTCCGACTCGATGCAATCCTTGACGACAACGTTGGCAAGACCATCTCTGTGACCATACAGCGTGCTGGGGAGAACATGGACGTCGAGCTAGACGTTGGCGACCTACATGCCATCACCCCCGACAAGTTCGTCTCCGTCGCAGGCGCGTCTTTCCACGACCTCTCATACCAGCAAGCGCGTCTTTACGCTATCTCGCTCAAGAACGCAGGTGTATACGTCTGCGAGGCAGCGGGCTCCTTTAGGTTCGCTGACGGCTACACATCAGGGTGGTTGATTCAGGAAGTTGACAACCAGCCAACACCCGACCTTGACACTTTCATCCAAGTCATGAAGAAGATCCCAGATCGCAAGCGAGTGGTTATGATGTACAAGCATCTGCGCGATTTGCACACTGCGAACACTAGTATTACTTCTGTCGACAGGCATTGGCATGCAAAGATTCGCGTAGCAACACGTAATGACGAAACTGGCCTGTGGGACTTCAAGCCCCTTGCCGATGCCATTCCATCTGTGCCCCCAGTTCCTCGCCGTGCGAACTTCGTCAAGATGAGCTCAAGCTATCCTGAGGCCGTAGACATTGTCCGCAGCTTCGTACGCGTTCATGTCTCTATGCCCATTAAGCTAGACGGCTTTCCTAAGATGAACAAACAAGGCTACGGTCTTGTTGTCGACGCTGAACAGGGTCTCGTCCTCGTTTCAAGAGCGATTCTGCCATATGACCTTTGCGACATCTCGTTGATCATCGCTGACAGCATTTTTGTCGATGCCAAGGTTGTCTTCATGCACCCATTGCAGAACTATGCCATCGTCAAGTACGATGCCTCCCTTGTCAACGCCCCTGTAAAGACGCCCAAGTTCGCTACCGACTTCATCAAGAAGGGAGCCGAGACCATCTTTTTTGGGATCAACCAGAACTTCCGACCTGTCGTAGCAAAGACTGTTGTCACTGATATCACCACAGTCGCGATCCCAGCCAGCGCAATAACACCGAGATACCGCGCGACCAACTTCGACGCCATCACTGTGGACACAAACCAAGCCTCGCATAGTGGCTCTGGTGTACTCGTCGCGGAGGATGGCACCGTTCAGGCTCTCTGGCTTTCATACCTGGGCGAGCGCACATCACACAGCGGCAAGGACGTTGAGTACCACCTCGGTCTTGCAACACCCAACCTTCTTCCGGTGCTCAACGAGATCCGTGGCGGCAACACACCCAAGCTACGTATCCTGAACGTCGAGTTCCAGACCGTGCAAATGAGCCAAGCCCGCGTCATGGGCGTCTCAGAAGAATGGATCGAAAAGACCGAGACAGCCGACCCAGAGCGCCACCAGCTCTTCATGGTCCGCAAGGTCGACTCCGGCCACGGCGACGGTCTCAACGAAGGCGATGTCCTCCTCACCCTCAACGGCAAGCTCGTCACCCGCTCACCTGATCTGGACGTCATGTATAACAATGAGTTCCTCGACGCCGTCGTCGTGCGCAAGCGCGAGGAGAAAACCATCAAAGTCTCCACCGTCGCAACCGAAGATCTCGAAACCGACCGCCTCGTCAGCTTCTGCGGCGCCACCTTCCACCGCCCCCACCAAGCCGTCCGCCAACAAATCAGCAAAATCCACTCCGACGTCTACATCTCGTCGCGCGCCCGCGGCTCCCCAGCCTACATGTACGGCCTCGCGCCCACCAACTTCGTCACTCACGTCAACAACGTGCCCACGCCCAACCTCTCCGAGTTCCTCACCGAGATCAAGAAGATCAAGGATAACGAGTATTTCCGCATGAAGGTCATGACGTTTGATAATGTGCCGTGGGTTGCGACGATGAAGAAGAATGAACATTACTTCCCTACTATTGAGCATGTCAAGGATGCGAGTCAGCCGTTGGGCTGGAAGAAGATTATTCATGAGTGTGGGGATGGGGGTGCGAGGGAGGAGATGGGGCCGGATGAGTTGGAGGCTGAGGCGGGGGAGGAGTAGATGGGTTTGTTGGAGAAGGGGATTGGTTGTGAGCTGTGTAAGATGTAGCGTACGGATGATAGAAGTAACAGAGAATCATGCATTCAATTATCTGGAATTTATTCCCAGACGTGATCTTTGAATCCTCTTCGGGTGACAAATGACCCCGGTCCCAATCCAGTCCCCTTCCCCAAAGTAAGAAAAGAAACAGTCCCTCTCAGACTACTACGCCCCTAGTGGAGCCTGCCGTGTGGATCACTCAAACTCATATCTTCTGATAGACGTCCCCAACGCATACTTGCGTGGCGTAGTGCGTATCATTCAGACCTATCCTCCAGCACATCCTTATCTACAAGCGCCTCCTTTTCCTTGACTTCCTCCTTGGCCTCAACCTTCTTCTTTGGTCGACCCCGGGGCGCAGCTTTCTTCTTTGGAGAACCCTCAGTCACACCCTCATCACCCTTCCCATCTTCACCGCCGTTACCAGCACCAGCGTCAAGGTCAAGCTTGCTCTTCCGCTTCTTCGGAGTAGCTTTAGGCTTTGCCTTGGGTTTCTCGGGAGAGACGTCGGTAGCAGTAGAAGCGGCAGGGGCAAAGGCCTGGCCGTTCTTGATCTTGACAATGTCGTCTTTATGCTTCTCCTTCAGGCGCACGAGGAGCTTCTTGCAGGAGATGACGGAGCGGCCGGCGGGGATGGGCGCGTTCTATTGGCTTGTTAGTTCTGGGATACATTGATGAATGCGGACTTGGGGTTTGAGTCGGTAGCTTCTGTGTGGCAGGTAGTGTAAGAGGGAAGAGAGCACTCACGCCGATCTTCGCATCGATTTTGCCTTCGTTTTCGCAGAGGACAATGAGGTATGCGATCTGTGGTGTGGTTAGCTGGAGCGATTGGGATTGGAGGGGGTGTGGAGGAGGGTGGACGTACTTTCTCGCCTTCAGACCAGGCGGCACCGCTTGCGCCGGTTTTGTTGGGGGTTTTGGGGTCGGTGTCTGACATTTTGGGGATGTCTTCTGGGTGTTGTGGGAGTTCTTGTAAAGATACTATACGTCTTTGGCCTAGAAGTGGATGTTGTGTGGAAGAGTTTGTTAAGAGTAGGAGGAGGTGGTGAGGTAGATATGGGCATGGAGGGATGGGAAATCGGCGGCTTTGGACTCACCTTCACGTCGTAGTTGCGATGAAGTGAGCCCTTTCGTCCTTGATCAGAGAGTGAACGGTGAGGTGAGGTGATGGCGTGGACCTCTGAACATAGAAGTTACCTAGGTAGTCATGGTGAACTGAGCTGTCTATGTGCGCTCTGAGAGGCAGTGCTGGGTAATGCTGTTTGAGTATATCATTGTCTTCTGCATTCTACAGCATAAATCCTGAAGTTCATCTCATTACCAAGACTTTGGCAGTGTGATGTTCATATTGTCGTGAGCGTAGTCATGTCGTCAGCCAATCTACTCGCAGCACTAGCCCGCGTCCAGCTTAGCACCACAGCGCACCTGCTCTTCTCTTCTTCACCTCACGCCCACATTTCCTACACCATCAAAACGACAATGCTTGAGATAGCTTGCTTCAACGCTGCTTCTGCCATCGCAGCAGCGCAAGCCGGCGCCGATCGCATCGAGCTGTGTGCCGACTACGCAGCTGGCGGGGTAACGCCTTCCCTCTTAACGCTGCAGGATGTACGGAAGAAAGTCAAGATCCCGATCAATGTTATGATCCGGCCACGAGGAGGCGACTTCAACTACTCCGACGAAGAGTTTGAGCTCATGAAGAAAGAGATTGAGATGCTTAAGCCTTTTGCTAGCGGTTTCGTTTTTGGCATCTTGATGGTCAATCGATGGATAGACCCCACTCGTAATCGCGACCTAGTCGAGATTGCTGCTCCGCTTCCTTGCACGTTCCATCGGGCAATCGACGAAACAGACGATTTAGAGGAAGCCGTGGAGGCCGTTGAGAACTGCGGTTTCAAGAGCATCTTGACAAGTGGCGGATATAAGACCGCAGCGGAAGGGGCTACTGCTCTTCATATCTTGCACTTCTTTCGGCCCAATAAGGTCTCGTTGATTGTTGGAGGCGGGGTCAGAAGCACCAATGTTGAGGATCTCAAGAGGAGGACCACATTAAAATGGTTTCACTCCGCAGCCATCACAACGCCTGGAGAAGATGTTGACGCCGAGGAAGTGAGAAAGATAAAGGATGTGTTGTCAAAACTCAAATGGAAGCAATGAGACGTGGACATGAAGGGTACGATATTATTCATTAAGCGTGGCGCATCAATACTGGGCTACCACAGGATGTATACGACATGCATGTGCTAGGACTCCAGCGGGTATCATCCATTCGGGATTGCCTCGAATACAACTCCTGAGGCCACTCTATCCAAACAGTTCACTGACTGCGACGTGTATGACGCCCGAAAGCAAATTGCTTACAAAAGTGCGTATAGCAAAGCACCGACCACCGACATTCCAAAGGATCTTGTTGTGTCGACAGACACCTGTCCGGCGGCTCCAGTAGATTGCGGCGAGGCATCGGAAGCTTCGGGAGTTTGTGTCACAACGTTGGTCTTAGCGGCGATTGTTGTGGCTTGCGTAACGGTGGTAGCGGGTACGGTGGTCTTGACCTCTACTCCATTGATAGTCGCCGTCTCGACAGTCTCCGCGACAGTTGTCGGCGCCGAGTATGTGACGGCGGGGACAGTGGTTGTGTAGACGATGACCTTTCCGAGTTCTGTAACTGGGACCGCCCCACCAACACCAGTACCGGTGTACTGTGCAGGGACCGAGAGGGTCGAAGTGTTTGGCTTCTCAGCCTCGTTGTTCGCGTAGATGTTGGCGCTCTGGCCGTCCTTTGTGTAATCTCCGCTGACGAGATTGACATCGGTGCCGCCGGAGCTGTAGGTTCCGGCAGCGACATTTCCGTAAGATCCGTCTGGGAACTGGAAGTTGGTGGTGAACTTGTCGTAGCACATGGGAATGTTGATGTTCTTTACGTTAACACAGTCTAGGCTCTGACGGCACCCGAAACCGTCCGCACGTCCGTGTACAGATCGCTTGTCGAAAGAGATGCCCTGAATCGACGAGAGGATGTCGGTATAAAGCGAGCTGAGCTCTGTGCCGACTGCTGGTGGAGTTGTGCCTGTCGCTCCTTGCGGCTGGCATGCCTCGTAAGGGTCGTCGTTCGTGGCTTTCGCCATGGAATCGAATGGCGACGCAGTTGCGACGGCCGCAAGAGCGAGGGAGAAGAACTTCAGAGACATTTTGTTGAGATGTGGTGTGTCGTGGGAGTAGTAGATCTTCTGGTATCGAGCGATGGTTACAGGTATTACACGATTGTTACACGGTGTAGTACTGAATGACGGACGACTTTCAACAAAGGTAACGAATGGCAAACGCAGGCGCGCGAATGTAAAAGCGAGTGACGGAAGGATACGACAGTATACCTGCCAAGGGTCAGAGGGGCGCCCCGAGTCTATATACTGACTGTGCCCATATCGCTGGTGCTAACAGGGTTTAATCAGGCTCGATCTTACAGCCGAACTAGCCAACAGGCACCATGCGCTTTACAACTGACGGCGCGCCACAATGCGATAGGACGTTTACCAACCGCCTGGGATCTGTTATCCGTTGGGCGATCATGTGTTCATCCCCCCAAGACCTTGCCCAGGGGCGGCCCTCGTATTGGATTCTTACAGGATTGGCTGCCATACACACACAGCCCAAAGATTTGGCCCCGCCAATGAGAACACCATCGCATTTGGCAGTTCCAGGAAAGTCAGCCGCGATGCCAGAACTTTGCTCATGCGCTGCTCATGCGACCGACTGGAATGCCATGCGTCAATAACGCACCGCTAGCCATTAAACGAGGTCATGGTCGCCTGATTCGCCGGGAGATAAATCGGCAGCCTCCAACCGAAGCGCGCTGCGAACGGACTTTTTCCTCATCCCTCAAGCCACGAAACGGCCTTTCATTCGAGATCACGAGAATTTGCAGTGCCGACATCCTTCCGTCTTACTCCAGGTTTGGCCAAGCCCACAACGCCTATCCGTCAACAAATAAAGAAAATAGCGGGCTCCAGCGTCATAAGCGGCAGCCCCGAGTCCCATCCAGGGCAAGCAAGCATGCAGTGTTTGGCCCTGGTTGGTCCCTGACAGCACACCCACAAAACTTGCGGCCACGCGCACGCTGCCGTCCCAAATTTCTCTGCAGCGCTAACACACGACGGTTTTTGTGCGACGGTGATCATTCCCCTGAGCGGCGATAGCGCTCATGTCAAGACTTTGCGGACAGCTCGGCGTTCGCTCGAGCCTTACCTTATTTTGGCCCGCCCAGGTACAGCGTACACCACCAAGACTCTGTATCCTCATGCTAAGATAGGTAGCCGGTCAACAAAGAGACGATAAGAATAGCTTTGTCGTTGCATTCTTCTAGTCCACGGCTTTAGCTTTGCGCTGACCCAATGAGAACATCAGACGGAAGAAATTATTACCGAACAATTCGCGGTTATTCGGCACTCGATTAGGTTGCTTACCGAGATTTACTTTCGTGTTTTGCTCGCTTCCTCGCACGATTCTTTATCGCTGTACTGAGCTGCTTCACACTAGGGGAGACGGACTCGCAATTATCATCGATTCATTCCCGAGCCGTCGTTCGTTCTCAATCAGACAACACGTCGCGTGCGTTGTTCCGCTACGGTACCAGACTACAGTTTACCCCACCACCATGCCAAGGTGTAAGCAGGGCTAGCTAATAATAGAGTTTTTCGGGGATCGACGCAGGAACAAAGCAGCTTACATCTGCACGCGAGACGCACAGCGCATATGATAAGGGGACGTCGCCATGGAGATGTCTACCACTTGAAATATGTGCGCGGTGCTGTTTTGCAGTCTCGACCTCGCTGGGCAGATCCGCAAATCGATCACTCCGCTGCGCGTATGCGGGACCATTCGCACCGGCAACCGAAGGAATTTTCCAATGTTTCTATACGAGGTAGGACCGATAGCGTGGAATCGGTCATGCGATGCGACCGGAGCGGAGGTGCGACCTGCATATGTGCCGTCAGAGTACGTGCAGTAGCCGACCTGAACCACATCGTGAACTGATGACGAAGTCCAGACTTGTCTGTCATCAACATGAGTGTTTTGTGGTTGTGGTGGCTGTCGTCCGAAGCTACTTTTCTTTTTCGACCTCGCGTATTGGTTAGTCGCGGCCGCGCCGAAGCGATGTTGCGCTGCTCGTTGGCGTCGGAAGTACCTAGGGCATGCGGAACTTGATATCGCAACCTAACTCCACTTCTCAGCACTCGTACATAGACAAAGACTGGCTATCTGGGTAAATGTAGCGCGACACGGTGCGCCCGCAAATTGTTGACATTGTGTGTATACCTAGGTAGGCTAGGTTTGACTTTCGCAAGGCGTTGCGAGAAGGTGTAGGCTTCTTGCAGTTTGCCTGAGGAAACCAAGAAACAAACCAAACAAATAAATGAGTGTGCTGATTACAGAGAAAAAGACATCTAAAATACCGTTCTCCGCGTTTCATCAACGCTATATCGACACCACAACTCCGATTTAAACATTGCCGACTTCGTCCCTCAGCCTTTCTTATACTCTGGAACATACAAACAACTCTTCCCATCAGCCGCACCTTTGCAACAATCCACCCTGATACTCAGCCCGGCCCTATCAGCCAACTGATCGGGCACGTTCAAACGCGCATTGACACACTTCCCCGAATAATTGTCTGTCAAAGCTGGGTCTCCCTCGCAATTGGGTTGGAAATATATTCTCGTCTCGCAGATCACGTTGTCTGATGCTGGTGGCTGAAAGCTTCCTGCCAAGGCGACGCTTTCCGCGCTGAGAAACCCGCTGAGGAAGTAGTTGGCGTCGACCGCGTCGTAGCATTGTCCGTATCTAACGTCCTGTTCTTTGAACACCGTAGACACATCAGGATCAGGCGGAAATCTTCTCAGACAATCGTTCATCATGAAGACGGTGATTTTGTGGGTTGCGTCGGTTTGGCGGACGTCGAGGGTAGGGGAAGCTGTGAGTGGGCTTGCGAGGCCGATCAACAGCAAGGCCTGCTTGATACGTCAAAAGTCAACATGTGTGTTCTATGACGCCTTGTAATTGGAGGAGTAGGATTTGCACCCAACGTACTGTGATGGAGAGTCTCATGTTCGTATCTGAAGAAAAAAGGTGAGAAGAGACTCGGTAGCTATGTGATTGACGCCTAGTGCTGGTTTTCTCCAGGTAAAGAAGATCTAGCCTTGCTTTATACTACCTCTCTTCGTACAGAATCACGTATATCCTGCCAGATCGCTATCTGCTTGCACGTGAGAAGATCATACCTCAGTGCGACCAAAGGCTTGCATAGCTCCGCAGTAGCTACCCAGAACGAGAAAGTGTGTCCTCTTGCTTTACAAATCAAGTTGCACCAGGTCGGCCTTAAAAGTGACATGTATCGTAAGCCGCCTCCGCACGTTCGAATCGTTCAAAGGCTTCCAAGCACTATGTTTTGTACGACAGGATCACAATGGGTCGTGGCTGAGCTACTCATGGTATGTGCTACCCCAGATTTGTGTCAGACAAAGAAGCGCGAATCCCGATGCTTCGCATGTGCGGCCAGAGTCGGGGAACTTTGGGGTTAGAAGTAATCCCTATGTTCTTTGATGGTCAGCGGCTTGACGCCTTGGAGACACAAACATAATCACTATTTGCGTTCCCAATAACTGCGTGGTACGAGGTAGTGAGATGGAACACAGTTTTTGCAACGAGCAGACTCCCGGTTCTGGCATGTTCGACTTTCTCATTATCAACGTAATGAGTAATATGTTGATTTCAAAGAGAAGCGGTCTGGGCGGTGGACGTCCACTTCGCACTGATCACAATGCACCATGTGAAAACACATACAATACGTTGGACATATGAATGCGGACTTCCCATGTGATTGCGGTATTCCGCTGCAAGTGCGGAATTCCCAAGATCACCAAACAGACAGAATACTGGGTAAGGTACTCATTAAACACATCGTCACCATCGAAGGTATCTCCGTTGAACACCTCAGTGCCTTTGTGGCTCTTCTATTCGACAGTCACCTGTGTTTCCTATCACCACCTGATTCGACATTACGCCCGGAGTTAGTGTTGCCCCATCGCAACACGCATCAGCGCACTGATAAGCTGACTTCGTTTGCAGCATCACTCACAGGGAATAACCACGCATATCTTCAGCCATCGTTCTGAGCAGCTGCTCGTTGAACAATCCGCCGCCATGTCTGAAACACCCGAACGTATCGTCGAACACGCCTACGACCATATTGCACAATGGTATCTAGAATGGGTCGAAAGCGATAGGTCACCACGCGAAAGGTACACAAGGAAACTACTTGACAGTCTGCCACCTTCCCCAAGCGTTCTAGAACTCGGCTGTGGCCCAGGCGTACCAGTACTGAGCATGCTGGTTGACCACGGAGCTCGAGTGACAGCCAACGACATTTCTGCAAAGCAAATCGAGATGGCTAAGGCTCGGTGTCCACGTGCAAAGCTCGTCGCTGGCAATATGACCACACTCGTGTTCGAACCCGAGAGCTTCCACGGCGTACTCAGCTTCTACACACTCTTCCACCTACCTCGCTCCCAGCTGAAGGATGTGCTCATGAAGATCTATGGCTGGATGAAGCCTGGTGGTCTCTTCGCTTTCAACCTCGCAGGCATTGATGAAGAAGAGATACATGGCGAGATGATGGGATTTGGGATGTTCTGGAGCGGTTATGGGTTGCACGAGAATTGCGACATGCTGGAACAAGTAGGCTTCGAGCTGTTAGAGGTGGAGAAAGTAAAGGCAGGCGATGGCAATTTGAACGAGGATGAACCAGACTACGACTCTGAGTTTGTTTGGGTGATGGCGCGGAAGCCAGAGGTTGATAAGAGGAAGATGTAGCAAAAGACTCAAATGAAGCTCAACTTTGTATACCGCAATGAGTGGCGCTTAGTTCCATATGCACTAACACGCGTTTGGTGCGCCAGCGCCCCAAAGTATGCTTGTTCCAGGCGTTGATGACCTCAATCCTAATACAACATCTCGTGTCGACGGGCCTTACACATTCTTCCTAGAATTGCGCTGCCAACCTGTCTTAAACTTCCCCATGCCCATTCTAGGAAACACATGCGCCTCGGTGTTGAACACTACGTGAGTGAGGGGAAGAACGTCGTCCGGTGAGAAGAGCAGGTATAGATACTTGAGCGTTTCGGCCTAGCAGAACATGTCAGTACGAAGACTATCTACATCAACGCGTCACGTACCAGCCAAAAGCTCTCCATGTTGTCTCGTCGCGGAGGCGGAATAGCATTCACGTTATTGAGAGAAGTGAACCCCTCTCCTAGCGGCACGGTCGAGTAGTCTAGGAAGGCTTGGAAGATTTCCCAACCCCATTCTCGGTAAATGGGGTCTTTTGTAATACGCCACATCATGAACAGACTCTCGACAGTCTCCGGCCGCTGAAGGTTATGTGCATCAAGGGGTTTGATGTTGAAGTCTTTTTTCCAGACCTCTTCCGAGTTCGAGCTTCGCTCCAAGGGCGCGCGTGGCATCCCTTTCCTAGACTGCAACGACTCGTCGCTTGCACGGAACCAAACGATTTCTGGCGCTATACCGGTGTCGGTCACTTTGTACATGCCCCAGCAGGTCTTTGTAAGCGCCCTTGCCAATTCCATCTGTTGCGACTTCTCGGTGTTCCAGCTGGGTAGGCGGCGGGCTTCAGCCTCGGTGAGCCCGTTTGTGGCTCCGAGTGCGATGGTACCGGGAAGGAAGCAAACGAGATGATCCATCTTTGGTGACAGAGAGCCGCCAATTCCGTTGGGTAATTCAGCGACGATGCTGAGCTTTGCATGCTTGGTAGGAATGATGAGATGTTTCTGGATGCCTGTCAGAGCCTCCTCCCACATCTGGAGGTAGATCGGCTCGGAAGTCTGTAGGTACTGCTTGATGAGATACTCTGCGATAATTAGTATGGAACCAACAACTGGATGCATTAGAAAGCTTACCATAGTACGAGTCGCCTCGACTTCCAAGACGTATCTCTCGTGTTGTAAATTGACCGGAATGGGGCGTGATAAAGATCGGGACTAGACCGTCGTGCACGTTGACACTGTCGACAACCTCCATGACCTTTTCCGCTTTTCGCCAGTATATCTCGTTGCCAGTAACGTTCGATAGGTATTTCATCTCGATCTGTAGTGTTGTCGCTTCGGCCGTCGATGAAGCTCCACCATCAGCGTGTGATACAAGCCCTCTTCGGCTTGCCAAGTGGATGCTTGCGTATGGTATACCGGACGGCGAATCGTATGCGCCGAGAAGTCTGTCGGCTAGATCCACAGCCTTGGTGAGATAGATGCTGTCTCTTCGCGAAGAGACACCGGGCAGCACTGTCGTGAGATAGTGCGCAGAGAGGAGACCGCCCAACATACGAATCGTGGTCTCGAACGTATTAACATCTTGATCTTGCTCGTAATCTAGACTGCGGTGCAACCAAATCCTTGCATCAGCTAGTTGCGATGTAAGATTCATGATCATCATCGTGTCGAGGCTATCAACGATAATCCAACCCAAGCCTTTGGGACTCATCATTGAGCCTTTCTTGGCGATGGGGTGGAACTGATCACATCCTGCATAATGTATAAGCGTGAGATTCCTTCGGCGGGAAAGGGCTCACACACCCCAAGCGTATTTGGAATACGCGTCCCAGCTACTGACAAAAGCATCTTTGACTTGCTGCCGTCGATTTTCCCACTCGCTAGCCGGGGTGGGCAGCCACTTCCGAGTAAGAGTCGAAGGGATGGCTTGTGTTGAAAGCCAAAGGCAGACAGAGGCTCCGAGGACAATCGCAGCTGTGATGTATGGCGTTTTGGAAAACGACCAGGGAAATGAAATTGGCGAGGATGTCGTATGGCCATTAGCCTTTCGAGCATGGCTCGCCTCGCGTTTGCGATTGCGCACAGAAGAACGCGACATACTAAGAAGTCGAGGTTTGATGAGTAGTGAAGAAGTAGAATCGAGTTTCCAAAGGTAGGCATTGTTGGCATCCCCCTTCGGTTCGACAGAAGGATTACAACCACGCCACACTCTCACGTTAGCGCCGGGAATTGAAACCGTGCGTACTGCATATCTGGAATGATGATGGCAGCAGGCTAATCAGAAGGCGATTCGATGATCAAAGCGTTCGCGAACCAATACAAGTGACATCCATTTTCCATGCGGCGCGGGCGTGTGAACGCGCTTAGGGGACGCGCCTGATCCCCTGCCCTGGTACCATGAAGTGAGACTCCGTCAGTGATACCCATCGTCTCGTAGACGAGACCGGCCTTTTAACCCATACAGCTCAGATAATCCAACCCCGGAGGTTACTGTACGATGGCAGATCTCTCTTTGATGCCAGCTACGCCTGTGACTCACGCTGGTGAAGTAACCTCATGGATTCCGCTCACAAGTACCTTCACGCCATCGTCTGGCTGCGAATCCATCTTCCGGCTCAACGGACCCAGTCTGGTAGCGTTTGATCCAGGCTACGGTCTCGACATCGATGAGGATGTCGACTGCGTACCTTCCGCAGTGACAACGTGGTGGGAACAGGCGCGACTGGGTGTCGGTGGTGAAGAGCATACAGCGCTGAGCATTCAGCCCCTAATATGCCCGAATCTGTGGACGACCGTCATGACCTACGTTACGGATACCTCCACAACCCAGATAATGTGCTGTCCCTCGTAAGTTAGCCATGCTCATCCTTTCGGCCTTGAACTCACTCGCTCATAGAGGCTACACCAACCCGTTCCACACAAGCGGCCCCGTCAACGGTGATTGCGTCTCAACCGTCTCCAAGGGTATGGTCTTGACATATGCATCTACACCTTATGGCTCGTCCAACGACTGGACTATTGAGACAACGACGGCAGCGCGATATTCAAGTGTCGGAGCTATCGCAGTAGTGGGCTTCAACGTCGCTCGTGCACCTCCGACCTCTACACCAAGCCCTTCCGGTGGTTCTACAAGCTTCGCAAGCTCGTCCTTCACATCCGCATCGCCAGCTATGTCGACAAGCGCCCCGTCACCAACTTCGTCCGGTTCGAACGGCCCTGCCAAAGACGGCGGAATGTCAACAGGCGAGAAGATCGGTATTGGCTTGGGTGTTACACTCGGTGTGATCGGTACTGCGGCGCTCATCTTTGCCGTGCTGTTGCTTCGCCGAAGGAATGGAAAGCGAGCAAACACACCTAACGCCTCCGTTCCGGTGGCCGAAAGCGAACCCAAACCGATGGAAACATATCAATACCCTCAACAATACGAATATCAAGTCTCTGAGCTCCAGGGTCATTATCAACCTCACGAACTACCCTCTCAAGAGCCTAAGTCTCCAGTCGAGATGGGATACCCTGGTCGATAGTAGGCGTTTTGGGAAAGCGGTCGTATATTTCATGCCTTCTGTCAAGCATACCAGATTCCGGGTCAGGGCGTGGCTGGCCCACGAAGCAGGAGGATGCGGGCCTAGGGAAGTGCTCAAGCGCGCATTATGGTCGCCCAACGCGTTCACTCGGGTCCCGCTTTACCGGTGATACTTATTCTTGGCCCAAATCTGCTAGAGTGTCGCAACACTGGTAGTAGCGCATTCTTGCTGAGAGTTCGATGGACTCTGGAACGGGACGAGCACCATCAAAACCTTTGCGTCCGGACATTCCGTTCTCCATCTTCTTTTCTTAGGCTTTCAGCCTTTCTTGATTTGTTACATTCTATTGTTTTTCTTTCCTGAAGCATGCTGTATGATAATGGTGACGGTTGCTGAGCGGAAGTTCGTGTGGGTGGTTGGACTTTGACAGAGCAACGAGGCCACGTTATTGACCAGGTTCCATTGGCTTGGCGTACGTCGAATGAACAACCTTCTTGCACGTTCTGTATGCGCTTTCGCAGAATACCATCCTGCCAACGCCTGCCAGCCAAGATGACTCCCGCTTCGCTGGGCGCGTCTGCGACTGGTGTTCGAGATAATCGCTGGACACCACTCTGATACCCAAGATCTGGAGGCGTACTTCAACCTCGCTATGCATTCTCGTCCTCCATCGCTCATCGGTCTCTTTACATCATACCGTCATCGAAATCCATCTCCTATCGCGTTCTGAAAAAGAGGACACGTTGCGCAAATAGCGCAATAGCTGACAGTCGGCTTAAACGGCCAATTCGGACGAGCCGGCGATTCCCATAGTGCGCATACGATCCCAAAGAAGCGCAAAACGCGACATACGTAAGCGGTTGCGTCAGTGCCTGAGGTACCTGCAGAAAAGACACCAGGCAGCAACGTTTGGAAACGCCTCAAGTTGTGTTTGTCACGTCTTGTCGCGTTCCTGGTGATATCAGAAAGGGGACGAAAGCATGCTGCGCCACTGTTTTGGGCGCAGCGCTAAGCCCAATCTGGTGGTGCTTGCGAGAAAAATCAACCACCACAACGGCTGCTTCCTGCGGTGGGCATCTCGGTGCGGCAGACCAATCGACTCGGACTGCCATGCTATCCCTCGTCCGGTTTCAGAATGAAGTTTGCAGCCCTGTCATCGCCTTCTTGCTCTTCTGATAGGTCCATGCAAATACGCTGCTTACAAGCTTGGTGGTCCGATCGCGAATTCTTTCCCTAGCGAGTCTTCGCACTGCCGGCCGAACGCCTTGTCCAACCTACGTCGACGTCAATTTCCTGAGCTTATCGTCGCGTACCTCGGTGCATGGGAGTCGGCCTTGCGCTCATCTACAGAGCTTGTCAGATATAGGCGAGCTGAAGCTTGTCGCTTGAATCATTTGGTAATATAGGCTTGATCGTAGTCGTAGGCTTCAGAGGCGGAGTTGCCTGAAATCCGATTAGGAATATCGTTGTTTACCTACGGCATCTTTATAGTCAGAACCGAAGGCCCGAATCTGGAAGGCAATTGTTGTCTTTGGTGCCTGAGTCTTGTCCCTGTCGCCTTCTTCTATTCTTCCATTCCTTAGAATACCGTATCACGATGGTCTACACCGGAAAGCCGAGCCGGGGGTGTGGGATGTGTAAAAGCCGCCGAATAAAGGTATGTATTACCTCGCGACAATTACTCTATTCCCTTGACTAGCGATCTCGCCTCCGAGCGTATTCGGATGCGCCTGCTTGAGGCCGCGTTTTGGCTCGCCTACTGACTGTGCATAGTGCGACGAGAAACGACCAACATGTGGCAACTGCAAAAAGTCCGCCCGAGTATGTCCCGGCTATCCTGATGATTTCGACCTGGTCTTTCGAGATGAAAACAAAGCTATGGCCAAGAAGGCGAGGAAGTCTTCCGGAACAACCGCGTCGAGCAATACCAACGGTGCGTCAAGCTCCAGCACTTCTCCGCATCTGTATGTACTACACCATTCTGCTCATGTCGATCCGCTTTGTGCCCGGGGATGCCGATAAGCTTTGCCGAGCAAATGGGTACCCTCGCCGGCGGTATGCGTTCTGAAGGCGTTCGCATGTGATTGTCGCAAGCCGAAGACCCACATTGCAATTTGTACGCGCTAACACGAATAGGTCACCTTCTTCGACGTTGGATGTATCACCAGGAGAGAATGCAGTACCGGGGGAGAAAGCCTTTCAAATAATCACTTCTCGATCAAGAATACCCTCAGACTTGAGCCCATCACAACAAATACTTGCTCTGTCCAACTATACAACACCACCACTGTCTCTAGACCAGTCTTTCGACTTCGAAGCGTTCGTGTGGAATCTGGAAAACGCAGTACCGCCAACCATAACACTCGCGCCAGAATGCGAGGCCGTGCCGTTCTTCTTCAAGAACTTCATCACCCTGCCACAACAGGCCGAAAGCACACGAGGATACCTAGAATATCTGGTGCCACTCTACAATCGTGCCCGCCCATCTTCGGTCCTCCATTTGGCTACTACTGCTGTTGCGATGGCAACATGCGGTCAGTATCCTGGCCGACAACAGCTCCTCCGTGAAGCGGTAACCACCTACGGCAAGGCTATCAAGAAACTGAACGACGATCTGAAAGATCCCGCGATGGCGAAGAGCGATGAGACGGTACTGGCTGTTCTCATGTTTTCATTATATGAAGTAAGTGGTCGAGCCATCTCTTCCAGGCCTCCAAAAGCCTGGTTGTCTATCCCCAGATGCATATGTTGGGCTAACAGACATCAGACCATAATGAGTACAGACGACACTATCACAGCATGGGGAAATCATGTCGACGGTGCTGTGGCATTAACGAAACTAAGAGGAATCGAACAGTTCAACGATCCAATGTCACATGCAATGTTCCGCGCCGTGCGAACAATGATGGTAAATACCAATAACACATCTTTTGCATACCATAATTTAACGAAGAACAGATTACAAGCTGCGTTCAACGCTCGAAACCCATCGACTCTTTTCCTGGTATCGGAGGTTGGGTCGGCAACGGCGACATTTCAGAAGAAAACGCTGCCAATCGGCTGACACTCATCTGTATCGACCTTCCAAACCTCCGCGCCCGTGCAAATATCCTCACTACCACACCATACGACCCCGCCTACGAATCAGAAGCGAAGCAAATCCTCGACCTTGCGCAAATGGTCGACGGAAACCTCGAAGAGTGGTACCGTACCCTGCCTCCAGAATGGAAACATCGGATCATCGGCGTCTCCAGCGATCCAATCGCACCCGAGGAGATCGCGCTGGCCGAAAGATGGCCAGGCGAGCAACATGTATATCATGACGTATCGTTGGCGAGTATAATGAACGACTACCGCGTTTGTCGGATATTCTGTCGAAGAGTCATCATGGCATGTGTGACATGGCTCAGCATCGGTGGCAACTATGCAGATGGCGATGAGACGTGGAGTAGGAGCGTGTTTGTCATTCAGATGATGGTGGACGAGATTAGTGCATGTGTGCCATTTCACATGAACTACGAGTTGCAACCCGTGGCGAAGGAAATGGGTCAAGAGCAAAATGGTATGTTGAAGTCCTACTAACATGATGTGAAGCATGGCGCTAACTCTTTTGCAGCTGCGGAGGCATTCGGCGGATACTCGCTGGTGTGGCCACTATACGTCGCAGCAAACGCCGAAACCGTACCACAAGAGCAACGCGACTGGCTGCTCGGTCGACTGTCCATTATTGGCACGAAGTTTGGGCTGAGTAGTGCTCAGGTGCTGGTATTAGCGAGGAGACATGTTCTGACATGTGGCCCCATGTTCCCTTGACGAAGGCCAGGATGGGGCAAGGGATCTGTAAGAATATGTGGAGGAAAGAAAACATTCCAGTTCGTGGTCGGTAGCATCGCACCTGTATTATACCTAGGTTCTAAGATAACAGTAAATGGGACTTTGCGGAGGATCTAATATGAGCCGAATGTTTTGTTCCATGGATCATCATCCGTATCTAGTAAGTGTTCATGTGACCCACGCGTTCGACGCGGATGATCAGTGGAGACATGCAACATGTCAATCGTCAGGCGTCCTAAGCGAAGACCTCATGATAAGAAGACATCACCAGCACCCATCATGCCAGAATCAAAAAGATGTTCCTGGCCGCTCACATGTCCGACTTTTGATCGAGGCATCATCCGCGGCGATCAACGCGGCCCGTTTCCGTGCCAAGGCTGACCCTTCAATTCGTGTTCGGGGTTTCATCTGCTCAGCCACAGCCACGGCATCTATAGCGACTGTGGGCCCCTAGCCCTTCAACAATTTGCACAAACTTGGAAGATTTCTCCCTTGAAGTCTATCTGTATCCCTCCATCACCAGCCTCATTCACAGACGCACTCGCCTCTCGCAAGGTTTACCCCGCCACACGACCCTCAGCGCAACACCAGCCTCGCTACGTCATCACCACCACAACCATGGGCGCATTGAACCTCATCCCGCTCTTCGTTCTCTTCGCGGTGGTCGGAGGCGTAGGATGGGTCGGTTATCAGGTAATTTATCTCCCCGAAAATGCGCGCGCACGGAATGCTAAGCCATGCGCCACTACAGATCTTCCTCTACTCCAACGAGCTCGCCGAGCGCGGTGTCAAGAAGATGGAGAAGAAGAACGTTGTCTTCACCAAAGATGGCGCTAAGGTCGGAGTCAAGGAAGTCAATGCAGAAGACTATGCGGATAAGACGCAACGTGCCTTCGTCAAGACATGGAATACTGCGCATGAAGGGTAGGTCGTCATGAAGGATTATAGGGCATCATTGCTGACTACATGATAGGGGATCCCCAGCTGCGCGAAGACCTACGAGGTAGTCACAAGGCGATACATGAGACGAGTGCGAACGGACCTTTCTTTTCTACGATACCTTTTTCCTTTGGGCATGCGCGGTCGATATCGCGTTATTGGCATCGGCCGTCGCGAGGATGATGGGAAGATTACACGGACAGGCGTCATGAGGCCTACATATCGAT